TTGTATGTTCTTCAGCTTGTGTAATATAGCTCTTCCGTATGTTTAGTTTTCTTATTCTCCTCTTCCTTCTAAATGTTTTTAAATGTATTTAGTTCGTATTTTATGTTTCTTTTAAATATTTTTTTCTATTTTGATTATGTTCTGTCTGGCATGTTTGTAATATATTTGTATTTATATTTTCAGTGCTGTTCGTTTATCTCCTCTAAAACCTATAAACCCCCGAGTGATAAAGCTCCGGCTACACAAGCAATAAAATATCGTATATAGGCCTAACATAAAAATGATTTTTTTTCAATATTTATGTTAAATATCACATAGATTCCATAGAAAGATAGCAATACTACTAGTAGTAGAAACATCAAACCCGCCATCGCCTGCACTCACAGTAGAAATTCATTTTCGGGGTCTTAAATACCGATTTGCTTAGCTGAATTCAGGAGTCGTGCAACATGGGCAACGGGTCTAGATTTGGATCACATTTTTACAAACTTTTTAGTTAATATCAATACGAAATTTTCATTCATGAAACTATTGAAAAAAAAGAATGGCATTAGTCAACAAATCTATGTTTACATCCTTGTTGCTCATGCCCATGTTACACACCGAGCGCGAGCCAGAACTTTAAGCCAATGAGATCGCGTTATATTATTATCAGGAGGTCGGTCATTCGTGGCAACGAGAAGGCCTACGGTTTATCTTGTTAAACTGACTCTGATTCGTTATTGACAAAGAGTTTGCCTTTGATTACTCCAAATATGGAAAATTAGGTTCACGACCTTTCCAATGACGTATGGAGATTAGTATCTAGCACCGCGTGCGTTTTCTAAACATTGCATTACTTTCGCTGATTTTTTTCACAGAATAGACGTCATTTCTTGGGCCTTTTTAATCAGGTAGGCTCATAAAATTTCCAGTTTTCTGATTGTCAAACTTTTTCTCAAATCACAAAGTTCTTTTGTATTTCTTGATGTTTCAACCTCAAATCTCAAAATCGACATTTTGACCCAAATCCATTGTTAACAATTCTTTTGTGCCCGTAGCACAAAATGACGTCGTGCGACAAGCACCTGGTTTTGGTGGAGCGGCACACTGTTGGCAAAACAAACATTTAAGATACAGCTATATACAATATGTACACGTATTAATAATTACCTATCATCTATTTATTGTTTTGATATATAAAAGAGTAAATTAGATCATTGTTATTTTACTAAATTAAGCATCTAATATAAATATGTGTGTATCTAAAAATATGAGTGAGCGATTGCGAGGATGTACATTAATCAATAAAGAATTAGTTTTGTGCTGGAAATATAACGTTGAACGGCAAGAAATGTGTTCTTGTTTAAAATGTTGGGTAAAACAGAGCTCCCAATTAGTAAGATATTTAATAATTCGTCCGAGGGAAGACTATTAAGATAATTAATATCGGACATTAGCACATCTCTTTGAGCGGTAAATGGAACATTTAAAAAAGTAATGGTATATATTTTCCACTGACATTTTACAAGAACATAGAGGAGTGTCAATAATGTTTGATTGAAATAGGTCAGTATTAAGGCTGCTAGATGAATGACGGAGTCGGTTATCAAGAATTGTTAGTTTACGTATGCCAATGTTTCTATAATGTGGTGTCGGAAATTTAATTAAAATAGATTTTTTGAAATTGAGATATGAATTTGCATTCTTTTTATCAGTTAATAGTCTATTATATTCAGAAATAGTTTTAGGAAAAAGGGGCTGTTTTTAAGACTTATTCTATAAAGGAATCGGTATATTATCTTGCTTTCTTAGATTATATGGTATGTTATTGATAGAAGGAACTAAATCTGATAGGTATGAGGGACAATTTATTATTTTCCAAAGTAAACAAAGTCTGTGGATTTTTCTGCGATCTGATAGTTTGGGCCACCCAGTTTCGAACATACACGGGAGTTAAATGTTGAGCAATTGTTAGGCCACTAGGGATGCTGTTCGAATCACAGCGGTGTGTGTGTGCGTGTGCAACTAATTCTCAGGCTCGACTGTTTATGGAATGCCAACACTGATCATGTGGATGGAGATTTTATAAGACCATGTGATATTTACCTAGGCTTGCGATTATTGGTCAAACAAAAACAATACCCATTCATTATTGGTGTACGATCTCAAAGCCACAAACAAGTTTGTCTCAGAAATCAGTTAGATATTTGTCGCACGCAGACGTTTTTTCCTAACAATATGGGGTCAACTGAAAATCGCTTACAAATTCTCTTAAGAAATTTACCAGTGTGTATTAGGCTTTAATGAAACTAAACAATATTAGGTTCCTTCAAAGAATATCTAACATTCTATTTGCTGTTAGGGTCAATATAACCGTCATTCTCAATTAATAAGTTCCTAAATACATTGATTTAATTAATTCTGAAGACGAAATGGAAAAGCGTTGTCTAGTCATTGTTCCATTTACGATTTTACATTCTATTTGTTTTGTTGGGTTTTTTTTGACTATATATTCAATGCTGTAAATAAAGAATTTATTGAGCTAAAATTGATATTGACCGAGTGAATAAGGATAATCAGAAATCGTATATCGACCCACCAACAGAACATTAAATATTCGCACTTTAATATTAAACATGCATTATACAAGAGCTAGATCTGCCTATTGCTGGTCTTTCTTTGGGCCTGAAAGGTTATCTAAATTATTAATTGGAATTAATTAACTTATCCAGAGCATAATCAATTATCGATGCCATCGTTAGCCTGCTATTTTTACTGGATTTTAATACATTTTGTGATTAATAATTCAACGTAAAAATGGATAATCTACACTTTGTTATCATACCAACGTCAGTAATGACGACTGGGACTATAGCCTAAAACTCAATGGCTAATATCTCGGTTCAGCATATTTTGTTTTCTTTATCCATTCTTTAACTATTATACTATTATAGCGAGAACTGTCAGCTATTTATGATAGTTTATCTAATCTTACTTAATGCCCAATTAATAGGAGCTGTTTACTTACAATTGGAACACATGTACAATTTATTAAAGAATTAAACAGGGTATGACGTAACATTTTCATGAACGGATAAAAGCATGGATCTATGTAATTTCAAGTTGTCTCATATAACCAGACCGTCTCATGTGTATAACGGTGTGAACTTGTGGACAAAAGCAACAAAATTCCGCGGCCATCTTGGATCGTCGAGATTTCAGCTGTGCACGAATTTATATATAACCTTCTAAACCACTCAGATCACGATCTTGGTGTCTAAATCTACATTTTTAGGCTCAATGAATACAATTATACCATCTAGAAAAGGCACCATTTTCTCCAACTATATTATGTCGGCCATCTTCTATCTTCTAAATTTACACTATGTAAAACGTTTTGTCTACCAATATCTCAGCTTTTAAGCTGTGTGTCTAAACCTACATTTTCAGGGCATAGGAATGCAATTATAACATCTAGAAAAGGAACATTTATTGATTATTTTTTTTACAAAGTTCATTAAAAAAAGTTGGTATATCAATATCTTAGGTTCTGGACCAGTTGGTATCATCATTCGTCATGCATAAACCTACATTTTGAGGTTCCACAAATAAAATGCAGCCTAGAAAATGATTAGATAGCTGTTATTCACGCTAGAAAAAAATGGTATTCTTATATCTACCAATATCTCAGCTTCTGAATCAGTTAGGATCGCAATCTTGGTGTTCAAGAAATACAATTGTACCATCTGGAAAAGTGTCAGTTTGGAAGTAAATCTCTAAAGGTAATTTGGGAAACAAAACTGTTCATATAAGGTCAAAAACAACCATTATCAGCATATGATCTTAATGTACAGCAGTCAATGAAATACACTACAAGGACTCTAGAAATGTGTGTGATAATATATCATCATCACCACTGAGTCCACGCAATACATATTTCTAGATGATATATCTGTAGGTTCAGACACCAAGATTGCGTGCCTAATTGGCAGATAATGGTTTTGCACAGAAGAAATTCTGAATATCCAAGATGACCGTCATAATATATTTGTAGGAAGTGGTGGATATCAAACATGTAAAGCTAAGGTGATAAGTAATATTGGTGGACAAGTTGGCTCCTTTGTCCGGAACGTTCACATCATTTTGTTAAGCTGCCTAACTGTAGGCTTCAAAGGCACCTCGTCGACACATGAATTTAAAGGGTTTCCATTCCGGCTCTCTGACGTTGTTTTTCGTCATGGTCATTAGCACATTTACAAAAAATTGAGAAACTTTAACCTGCAATGCCAAGTGTTAAAGTGAGATTGCGAGTAAAACCGCCTTGTGTTGCTTATATGTGGTTCAAATTGTATAAAATATATTGTAATGAAAATCTCTAAAGAATCCTCTACTACATTTTTCTTTTCGGTCAATTGTAAGATTTCATTCTCGAAGCTGCACCACATGAAGTCCAATATAAAAAACATCAACGCTCTTTATTAAAAATACCTCGAATGTAATTATAGGAGCCCACACATTCTGACAGATCTATCAAACAAAGTTTAAGCATTCTTTTTTTTTTCAGTGTATGAAAAATAGCTGAAAGTAGTTGAATGATATTAATTAGATAATATGATCGGTCATCTGAATAGAAATAGGGCATACTTGTAGAAACAAATGTCCTAGCTAGGGTTATATCACGATAAGATAAAATGAATTTATTATCCACTAATTTACCATGTCCCGCTTAACTTCTGCCGTATAAACACTGTATGATTAATAGAATTTCAGGTGATTCAAATACAGTTAGTGTTTTAATGAAAAGGTGGCACTACAGTACATGTATGTATGTCTACTAGGTATCAGGGGCGTATTTGGATTGTGAAACCGTGTGTTCCAGGAGGCTGTGAACGAAAACGCAACCGAACATATTTTCGAATACATTTTAGTAGCAATACTTGGTCTCTAATAGTTGTTTGAAATACCATTATGAAAATTTTAAAATATGTAATTAAATATATTGTGTTTCTCTTTTGTAGCCTTGGATATATCTTATCATTTTGTTGGTGGTACCAACCGGTATGGACCCAATAGCAGTAGTATATTCTATTATTGGTTAAATGGTACTCCAGTTGGTGGTCTGTGGGCGCCTGGTGAACCCGATGGTGGAATAGACAAATGCAACGCTATATCACCGGAACATGATTATTATATACGGGATATCGGGTGTGCAAATCTGTATCGTTTTATCTGTGAAATACTTGTGTAACAAGGCAAAGGTTTGTGGCATTGTGCCATATCTGTATGCCAATTACATACTTAATTAGTTGACGAAACTAAAGCATGTATGATATTCATTTTGTCTATAATTAGATCAATTCCCCCAAAACTTAACTGCTTTGAAAGCATAATATGCGTAACGTGGACAAATATTGTGACCATGGGGGTAGAAAGGCACTATCTACTGCTAGCGGGAGCTAATTCGTTAAGATTAATAAAACGTCGTTGCTAAAACGTCGTTCGTTTATTTGTGGTGACCAGGACAATTATCAAAGCGCATAATAAGTCTACCCCTGTTTATGGTCGCTGTTACTACATCACCCCTTGTCCATATCCCTTTATTTGTCTACAATTGTATTACATAATGGCGGCTACGTTAGCATATGTTGATGAGTTTGGGGTACAATGTAATGCTGGTTTTCTTTCGAACACATACATTTAGAAATCGATCGCATATTGTAATCCTTTATGAAATATATCTTACAAGGTTGCAATTGTACAGCTGTCTATTTCTGGAACGCCAAACTTCACTTAACGGGACGTATTTGGAAATCCAAATATATCATATACTGTTATATTGTTATTTACTATTTACTTTGTTCGAGTGGCTTATTTAGTGAATAAAACAAAACCATCCTGTCCCTTCAGACCCATGGTGCCGCCAAGTTTCAACTGCACTAACTGTCTATTCAGCTGTGAATATGCAGAATAGCAGACATCTTTAAAACAAAGGTTACCAGGCAACGAAATATGCCCACCGCCAGCTAAATCCTGCGACATATAGATTATTGTAGCCTCTTCTGAACTGTAGAAGAGAATATGGTTCTTCCTGTGAATAAATTAATCAACTTATTCAAGACAGGAAGGGTACTGGTTCATATCGTAGAGACCTATACTAACTTTCTGAAAGCCTCACTAATGAGTATGTCATACTTATAGAGATGGCTTAATTTCTGGGGTAAACAAACCACTTGAACTTTGTAAATGATACAACATTATGTAGACTAGCCAATAACAGACCAGCCGTTTATGAATCGTCGATATTATGTATACTAATTCAAATGTAAATGATATTCAAGGCCATAACCGTAAGATCGTGATATCTAGATTATCGAGACAAAACCGCAAATTAGCACGAATACCTGTTTTTCGCACAATACAGGTACTATACTACATACCGAACTCCAAGCCATACCTGTGACACGCCATGGTTAACGTTTGGTACATGGAAGTAAGACTTTAAACCCCATTCGATTTGATTTAATTTCAGTTCCACTGTTGTTGATTTAAAACCATAAATCAAACCATCCTTACTTTTGTATAAATAGATAGATTCTGTATTTTTGATTATATTCTGAGCTTATTGTCCCATGTAAGGTATTCAATAGGAAATAGATTATTGAATTAAATAAAAAAATAGATATGTTTAAAGTAGCAATGGTTGATGTCAAATTCTAAAGACTTAAACCACGCTAATATGTACCCAAAATCAACTACCAACGCTTGATAATCTCCTGGCTTGGAATCAGTTAGATAGAAAACAGGCCCATCACTTTTGTTTTACGGCAAATGCAGATGGCGACCACTTTGTTACTCACGACGGAAATGAAATAAAATGAAATTGGGTTTAACGTCCTACTGTTTTGCTCTAATGAACTGGGCTAATGAAGACGGGCATACGCCATACAGTGTGCTAATAGGGAAATTTTGCCCGGACAGCGGCACTACGGCCTACTCTTATATCGAATTCCAACTGTCAAAGGGATCTTTTACGTACACGCCAATGTGTACACGGGAGCTCGGTTTTTCGTCTCATCCGAATGACTAGACAGCTGTCCTTGTTACTCACAACGAAGTAGCATAGATAGATATAATATTTTCAATTGATCATATCTTTTGTACTGAAATTCCTAATAGAGATTTCAATTTTCACAATGCAGGGGATTATATAGCGCTAATATCATACCGAGTCTTTAAAGAAATTTATTTTGGAAAATAATTGATACTTAAGTCACGTGTTATGTATAGGCAATACTACTTGAGCGCTATATTAAAACCAATCTAATTTAAACACAGATCCCATTTCGTTTCGTTTTTAATAGTTAAAATTTCTTTTTAATTTATTTTTCTGTACTACACTGGGACCTGGAAGGGTTGTTCTATAACCTGCTTTCTGGATGGCGTGAGAGATTAGCCAAGGAAACCATCTTTGCGTGTGATGCACGGGACTGTGGGTAAACCACTAGAAACGTCAACGCTGAATGATTAATTAATGTCTGTCTGACGCGACCTTTTACTACAACCGAACAGATCTTTATGTAGAGTAAAAAAACGAAACCAAATATAGATCTGTATTTTAATCAGATTGTATTAAAACCAGATTACTCTGATATCAATATTATATAATGGCACGATAAATAATTAAACACGCATTATGCAAGAGCTAAATCTGCCAATCGCAGGTCTTTCTTTGGGTCTGAAATGTTATCTAAATTATTAATTAGACATTAATTAACTTATCCATAATCAACTCTCGGTGGCATCGCTAGCCTGCGATATTTACCTGATTAGAACCCGGTCTGCTGCTTCTGATTAAATAAAAAAAAATGGATAATCGAGACTATGTTTTTTATTGTACCGACTTTAGTAATGATGATCTAGGCTAGGCCCAAAAGTCAATCGCATATACTCGTTTCGGGGTGGATCAATTTGACTGAAATTTTTAGCAAATTCCTTTACATTATCTAGTTTTTAACTATTATAGTAAGAACTGCCAGCTCTTTATCTATCTCCCATAATCTATCTTTAAGATCGATACTTCAGATACACATTGACCTAAGTAAGCGCACATTGATTTACCATATTATTTGCAAGTGTGCCAGAGTCGTTATGACTTCAATCGAGCGTAGCGTTATTGACAAGCAACATAAGGTGAAAAAACAATGGCCATTATTTAAAGATACATTAGTTAAGAGTTTAATAAACCGTTGGCCATTCTTGCTATAATAATTCAATACTAGATGATAAAAAAAAGAAAATATTGAAAATTTCACTCAAATTACTTTATTCTGCACGGGCTAGAAATAGGCATCAACTATGTCCGCACTGTCTACGAGAATTGCCGATCGTTTGATTGACAGTGGCTACTGTACACTCGCTTGGCAGGCCTTTCTCTGGCAGTCTCCGTAGTGCCGTCAGTAGCTAGCGGTAAACGTTAGCTTGGTCAGTCATTTATTGACTTAATTTCAAATGGACGACTGTTTAAACCCAAGCTGTATCCAGGCCATCCGTGGGTCTACAGGGTTGATTTTGAGCTTGTCATGTAAATAAATATCTGATTAATAATTTCTATAACATCTGACGCCTAAATAAAGAATTGCAATAGGCAAATTTAGCTCTTGCATAATGTATGTTTAAAGGACATATCCCTTGCCTTTCTAATAATGATTTCCATGACAGCCCTAATTGATTAACCATGTCTACATATTGCAGTGTACCCTACTCTTGTGTTTATCATTTTCATGATCTTATATCATCTTCCCAATCTCAAATATTTATTGACAATAATATCTTCAAGAAATTCTACACAAATGAAACTTTGATCTTATTTGGAAATACAACCCTGATATAAATAAATCTGTAGAACATAGACATAAATTAATTAAAATAATTTGGAGGTATTCTAAATATTGGTGATTCATTCAGCAACTTCTAATGTAAGTGGAATTTTGAATTACGCTTTGATCAAATTACGACTAACACTTAAGTAACAAATCATTTATTAGTCACAAGAAATCGTTTTATAAATTGAAAATATGACAGGGAAGGCAAAAAAGCAGCTGAAATAGGACAGATAAACGGAAATGTAAAGATTTACACTTCGTCCTGAACATGCGTACGAGCACGGGATCTGTTTTTCACATCTTCTGAAGGACTATACATTGTCATTTGCCAGGACCTGCCCCACTGCTAAAGGAGAACCGAGCCGGAAAATCCTGATGAACTTTTCAACCTGTTTAGCGAGCCAACTTCTTCCTCACTGAGCCACCTCTGGCCACTAATTGACTTATGAGAAGGGTGCCTCGACAGTAAACAGCCATCTGTTCACGATTATGCCATAAAATGGCCAATTGTACTTTTTCGAGAATAACGTGGCAGGACGTGTTATCAGGGATTCAAATGTTGAAAAACGAATAACGAGAAAGAAAGTGTTTCGTTATTTGGGATTCAAATAAAATTATTATTTTTTCTTATAAATTTCATACCATTAGTATCAGTTTGTCAAGTAAACTGCTTTTTAAAATTATTTACATGACTTTTAAAAATCTTCAAACGTTAAAATTATTTGCTTGGGGATATTTGAATAACATTTTCTTTCCCAAGTCGGTTACTGGCGACTGGAGATTCAAATATTTAGTTTTTTTGCAAAAAAGTGAGGCCCCAAAATATCTTTAGAATGCTTCTTAATTTTCATTTCTCAACTATTGTTTTCGTTTTCAGGGTGATAGGGCGAGGGTGTCTCTACTAACTTATTTTGCCTGACAATGAAATAAACGCATTGATAGTTACATATCCACGAAAGTATTTATAGGGTAGTTATTACCAATAAAAGTATCATCAATTTTGTAGCCTATATAAAACTTACTAGAAAAATAATGGATCCCCTGAAGAATGTGCATACTCTGTCTAAATAACGTATTTAGTTGTTTTTTTAAATCGAATAGCTGGTGGTTGTGCGAAAATTGAGACTCTTAGTTAACGAACTGTTAAATGCCGGGAAAAACAAAAGCCGTTACTTTCGCTTCAACTGTTATGGTAAATGGACAGCAAGTAACGAGAGATTATAGAAGCTAAAAATGGACCTCTCCTCAATCAAGTCACGTGATAAACAAGGATCCTTAAACTGTCTATCTCTGGCAAAATGTGGGCATATCTGGCATGACAATCGCTTGTTGAGAACTTTTATCGTAATTTCTAACCACGTGTGCCTGGCGGGCCAATTCTACATGGTACGTACCATATT